AGGTAAGACATCGTTCCCATTGGTCAAAATCATCAACTTGGGAAGGTCGCGGAGATAATACACGCTTCCCATTGGAAGAGGCAATCACATCCGGAAGCTCGGGGCAGATCGCCACTGCACAACTGGAGATCCCGCCCATCGGACCATCGAAGCGGCTCCATTCTTTCAGCCTTAAGCCTTGGAACAGACGGGTCCAGACTGACACAGAGCTGTCCCTCCCACCAGCTTCAGACGTCATGTTCCTCCGGAAGACAGCGGGATGCGTGGAGGCTGCTCCAGCTCCGTGGAAACCACGGCTCTTCATCAACCTCGATATGGGATGAGGTCGAGTATAAGAACCCTCGATGGTAACCTCGAAAGACGAGAATTCTCTTGGCCATCACCAACACAAATCACAAACACTCCTATAACTCTCAACAACACCTTCAACTCATCTACACAACACCCTTTACTTAACCACAAACCACCCAAACCATCAAAATGCTCGGCAAGATCGCACTCGAAGAGGCCTACGAGATGGCCGGCATGGAAGCCAAGTCCCGCCGCGAAGCCGCCCTGTACATCAACCCCAACGACCGCACACGCTACATGCGCCAGATCAGCGACGTCAACGACGAGCGCGTCAAGCTCGCCGACGACCACGGCATCGGCTACACCATCATCTCCCTCACCGTCCCGGGCATCCAGGGCATCGCCGACCAGGCCGAGGCCGAGCGCCGCGCCACCGAGGTCAACAACTGGGCCCACGACCAGATCAAGGCGCGCCCCGACAAGCTCGGCGCCTTCGCGTGCCTGTCGATGCACGACCCCGCGCAGGCCGGCCGCGAGCTGACGCGCTGCGTCAAGGAGCTCGGCATGCACGGCGCGCTGCTCTGCGACTTCCAGCACGCGGGCCCCAACGGCGAGACGTACAAGTTCTACGACCAGCGCGAGTACGACGTCTTCTGGAAGGTTGTCTGCGAGCTGGATGTGCCGGTGTACATTCACCCCGCGGCGCCTGCTGATGTGATGTTTGATAAGCTGTACGCGGAGCGCAAGTACCTCATCGGCCCTCCGCTGTCCTTCGCCAACGGCGTCAACCTGCACCTCATGGGCATCATCTCCAACGGTGTCTTTGACCGCTTCCCGAACCTGAAGATCATCGTCGGCCACCTGGGAGAGCACTTGCCACTAGACTTTTGGCGCATCAACCATTGGTTCGAGGATGTCAAGAAGCCCATCGCCAAGGATGAGGGCAACGAGGACAACATGTGCAAGAAGACCATCTACGACTACTTCAAGCAGAACATCTGGGTCACCACCAGCGGACACTTCTCCACGCACACTCTCAAGTACGTCGTCGACGAGATTGGTGCCGACCGTGTTCTCTTCAGTGTTGACTACCCCTACGAGACGATTGAGAACTGCTCCGCCTGGTGGGACGGCAAGGCTGAGGAGGTCAAGGAGGCGGTTGGTGGTGTCGAAAACTACCGCAAGATTGGAAGGGACAATGCGAAGAAGCTGCTGAAGCTTGGTAGCTTCCACGACTCTGAGGCCCCTGTGTCTTAGAGAGAATTTGATGTATTAGACTTTGTCTCAACCAGCTGGATTCATAGCGCGAGCAGATAGCAAAGCATTGTTACTTGGTTAGAAGTCTTGATCCCCTGCTGTGAAGTGTGGTCATTGGAAGCTTGACCAGTTGCTAAAGTCTATGCCTTGCATATTGAACCAGCTCTCATTCAGGAGGTCAGAACTGAGGAAGTCTCCAAAGTCCTGAGCCATTGGTGTTTGACTCATGCCAGGCATGGAGCTGAAGGGCAGCAGTAAGTCGCCCTGATTTTGCTCTTGAAGCCCCTCAGGTTGGGAAGTCTGAGAAACCGTCGCATTTGAACCCGCTGGTGCATCCTGTCGCGACACAGCAGCAACCGAGTTCCGGAAGCGTTGCAGAACCTCAATACCCCTTGTAGCTGACGTCACATGTTTCTTGTGAAAGTCGAATATCCGAAGCGCGCGATCCCACGATGTCTTTGTCGGTTCAGTGTCAAAGCTGACACGAAGATCAGGGCATAAAGTGGCTACGGCCAAAGTGGATGCTGCAGCGAAGGTGACTATCATATCTGTTAGTAGTTATATCAGGTTGTTTGGATTTAGACGGAAGCAGCTTACATAGCAATACGTGCCATGCTGAATTTTGGCGCACACTACCCAGCTTCTCGTACATTTCTTGGAGGACGCCATGGGCTGTAGAGACACAGAGGGTGTTTGCAGCATGGCCAAAGCTCTCGCTCAGCGCCGATGAATTGGGCAGATCTCTGCTGGACTGGGCGGTCTGCTTGGCTTCTACTAAGAGCAAAGGGCGCAGGAGTAGAAGTCTAATCCAAAGGACTCTGGGTTTCACGTTAGTCTCCACCGTAATGAGTGACATGATAATGTGTGCTGCTACCTTGACTTCAGGATATTCGCCTGCATCTGCAAGCTTCCTTTGAGACTCTCATCATACTGGGACAGGCTCGCACCTTCTCTGAGATAGACTGGAAACGAGTCGTTCAACTCATCTAGCTTTGCCGAGAGCCGAAGTACGTCGCTGAGAGATCGCGACTTCAGGTCTGAAGAGCAGTCCCCTTCGGCGTAAAATTTGGCTAGAATTTCCTTCAAGACATCGAATAGGGCTAGGGAGTGCACGAAGCAAGCTAGATAAGACGGTCTGCCCACCACCTGGCTTCCTTCGGTGATCTCTGACAAGTACTCGTCATCAATTATAGCTGGAGCCGGTGTCGAATACTGTCTCGACAATAAGACGGACCGCCCGAATGTAGTTGCAGTAAGTCTGACATTCTGCATTAGCTCTGGGCACAGTGGAGGAGGGACTGTAGACCGGCTTACCTATCCAAAGTCAGACAGCAATGCCAAACGCGCCGCCTCATCTCACGTTTGAGCTGATTTACTCCAACGGTTTTATCTCCTTCATTTTGCAGTCCCAGCCCCTGGGCTACCCTCACTGCGACACCAACAGTATTCCAGCAGCGATCAGCGTAGGAAGTGTAATGCAAGTAGACGCCTCTTAGAAGTAGCAGCTGAACGACTTGCAGTGAAGAGTGGTCGAGAGTGTCTACCGATATGAGCTTTACAGACTGCTTGTAGAACTTGTCAGCGAGGTTCGCCTGCTCTGCTACTGATACCTGGTCGGTTCGTTGCGATCCCAGCGCAAGCACAATGCTTAGAGTCGAGTGGAAGACAACGTCTTTGAAATCCCGCTTATGGTTTCGATCTTTCGTTGGCTTCCAAAGGGCTTCGTATGATGCAATGAAGGAAGGCTTGTAAAGGATTGGGAAGACAGGGTGCACGAATTCCCAGAAGGACTCCATCAAGCTGTCTGCGAGCCATCTCTCTGGTAGCATCACCGGTTCAGGGAAGGGATCGGGACTTTTTGGTTGGACCGTTGAGAAGCCAAGGACGTTAGGCGTACTCTCGGTCTCGTTTCCGGGACCGTTTGGGCCCGAGTCATCTGGTTTCTGCGCATCCGCGGCAAGAGTGACTTGTCGGAGAAAGGAGATGTTTGAAGAGGGGCCGTAGATGGTCTCATCCTCGTTGTGGGACGCCGATCCATTTCGCTGATGATGGCTTGCCGGCATGCCTTCTACAACCCTCGGCTGGAGTCCCGAGCCCGTGTCGCCAAGACCAGTCTCAACTCCGGCGCCAATTGGCCGAGCCGGAGCGATTCCGGAAACTCCGGAAGCTCCGGAATCCGGCAAAGGGGGACTGCCACTCAGAGGTACAGATGTTTGTGGAAGAGGCGATCCCTCAAGTCTCTCCAGCCTCTTCTGAAGTTCAGAAATTGTCCTAAATCATCGTCAGCGCCATCGATGGACTACAAAGAGTTGACACGTACGGCCTCGAAGATGTGTGCAGCACCGACTCTTGATAGGTGCACTGCTGCTGCATCCCCTTTTTCTGGCACGCCGTGCACACCGGACGGGTCCCGTCGCAGCCGGACTTTCGAGCCCGGCACGGGTTGCACGCGAGCTGCGTCTTCCGGCGTTTTCGGGGCGGCACCTGCACCGAGGACATGGTTGGTCGTGTCTACCTCTTGGCAGTGATGATGCGAGGCATGGTTGGGGGGATCAGCAGTTCAATTGCCGACGAACCACGTTCCGAACGTGGAGAAGGGAGCTTTCGGGCCCACATTTGTTTTTGCTGCACCGGAACTCGGCACTGATGAGATGGCTTTCTTTCAAGCCTGAAGTGTTATCATCTTTTTCGATCTCAGATCACAACTGGCTCGGAAATCTCGTCGTATCAAGCAATTGCATTTTCCGAACAATTTGACTCGTGTGTTGATGCGCAAACCACTCTGACGTCACATCCGAGCTCACAAGGGTTCCGAACCTCGCAGCGGGGAACAACAGACGTCATTACAAGACGGCCAGACCGGGAACCTGAGTCGGTGGCTGGACTTGCTCAATCCAAACAGGAACCGGCGCTTCGTTTATCCCAGAATCCCAGCAACCGCGTTCCTGGTACGAACCCCGCGCGAAGGAGCAACTGGCATTTGCAGAGATCCGCTCGCGATGCCACCCACGTGCGGAGAAATACTACAGCCGACGCGGAGAATTGCATCTACCCTTCCAATTGCGCCTGTCAACTAGCCCGCCCCGAGCACATGAGTGAAGAGTCCTCTCCACTTTCTTGACGAAGAAACGGGCTTCGGCGCCGTTGACCGAGGTTCTGGTGATCAACCGCCCCCGTAACTACCACATCCCCTCCTACGTGGTTAAAATTACCAGTTATCATTGGTCTCTACCACTTTTTCGGCTAAAGACTTCCTCTTCAACAACAAGTCTCCACAGCGAAGTGATCGTCGGCCACGGCGCCGATGACCGAAAAGAGACCCAGCCACGTGGTTAAGACTTGAATCTGCGAGGAAGGTTGAAGCTCAGCGTGCGGAGTAACGGGGTAGCGGACTAGAGACCGGCAGTTTAGAGCGAATCCACACTTGTTGACAGGCAAGCGATGACTTCAAGATGGGGGAATACAAAAAGGGCGTTATCTCGCCTCCGCTGAAACATGTGTCTGGTTCCCGGAGTAGGTCACGTTGGATCTCGGTCATCTACATCATGTTGTCCGCTCTAGCGCTCGCTTCCTGGTTCTTGCCGGCGTCAATTGCGGCGCCATCTACCGGAAGCCCCATTGCGAGTCTCTCGCGGAACAGGTGAAGGCCTCGGTGCCAGAGTTGACCTCGGTTAGCTCCGCTCTTGTATCGGCGAATAGCCTTAACATCACTTCGGTCTTCAACTCCGCGTCGTTCTGTCGGTTCAATGGCACCGTTCCGTACGCAGAGAACAACACGGTTCTCTTTGAGGTTTGGTTGCCAGAGACCGGATCTTACAATGGAAGATTCCTGGCCATCGGTGAGTCGATCGAAAGACCATGATAATGGTCAAAGACTCTAACGTGAAATAGGCAACGGAGGATTGGCTGGCACGATTGACTATGCGGCAATGGTAGAAAACCTCAACAAGGGATTTGCCACAGCGGGAGGCGACAGCGGACATCGCGCGGCCCATAACAACGGCGGTGATGCTTACCCCGGAGGAATTTACCTCCCATTCCTGCATGATCGAAACCAGGTTCTCGCATGGATTAGAAACTCGATTGCGCTCTTCACTGCCCCGGCAAAGCAGATCGCCAGCCTGTACTATGCTGAGCCTCCGTCACATGCCTATTGACTGGAGGCGCTCAAGGTTTTGCCCTGGCTGAGTATCACCCCGAGTTATTCGACGGAATCGTTGCTGGGTGCCCTGGAAGCTGGTACTCTCACCTCGCCCTCTCCTTCTTGTGGAACCAGCAAGTGTCGTTGGTAAGTATTCAGTACCGATCAGTGGGCCGAATTTAACTAAAGTATCTGAGGACTCGGCCTTTATCCCCCAGGAAACGCTCACCTTCATCCGCGACTCCATCCTCGACAAATGCGACACTCTAGACGGCGTCGCCGATCGCGTCATCGAGAACCCTTTGGCCTGCTCCTTCGACCTCTCCACGCTCGCCTGCACGTCCTCCTCAACCAACGCATCAACCTGCCTCACCCCAGCTCAAATTACCGCAGCCGAGCAAATCTACGCCGGCCCGCGTCACTCCCAAGCTAACGCCAGCTTGTATCCCGGCTTCGACCTCGGCAGCGAGTCGGAGTGGATCAACCAAGAAGGCCGTCTGTCTCTCTCCTTTTCGCTTCCTCTGCTGCAGAACATGGTCTTTGATGATCTGAGCTACAACGGTAGCACGTTCGACTGGGCTACCGATGTTCGAGCGCTGGATGAGAAGGTTGGGAGCTTGATTGACTCGATCAGCACCAACTTGACTGCGTTCAAGGGGCACGGGGGCAAATCGATTGTTACCCAGGGATGGCCTGATCCGTACAATGCTGCGACGTGGCCGATTCAGCATTTGGAGGATGTGGAGAAGGTTACTGGCGATAGGAAAGATTGGGCTTCGCTGTTTATGGTTCCTGGTAAGTTTCACAATTTCAAGCGAGAGAGAAACCGAGGTTAATCTTTCTGCAGGAGGCGGTCACTGTGGCGGCGCTTCGTCGTATCCTCAAGTTCCCAGCAAGCAGAGTTCGCTCGAGGCGCTGGTTGAGTGGGTGGAGAAGGGGGCAGCACCGACTGAGTTGCTTGGAAGCGAGCCAGCAGATGGAAGCAGCAGGACGAGGAAGCTTTGCCCCTGGCCACAGACTGCAAAGTTGCTTGGAACAAATGCTTATGACTCGGGGTCATATGTCTGTTCATAGGCTGGAAGTGGCCGCTAGCAGGGAATATTATACAATGTCTATATACCGTAATTCGCTTTCATCATCCGGCCACAACTCCCCCTTCATCATCCCAGTGACAACTGCCGGCCCGACGAGCGTGTACTCTCCATTATCACCATGCGGTCTTAAAACAAACGGGTTGTTTAGACCAGCGATCAGGAACACCTCATCGCCCTCGGATATACGCGGCACTCCTAAACCAGCTCGCCCATCGGTTGTGAAGAACATGCGACCTTCGCCCATGTTGTATTTGATACTGTGGCTTATGTCCAAATCATCGCACAAAGCCTCAAGGAGGTCCTCAAAAGTAGCATTCGGCGGCAAAGAAGGTATTGTGACTGGCACGATATAGCTTGCTGCGATGCTCTGCGCAAGCTCGAAAAGCGTTTGTGCCATCTTGGCCTCCAACAAGGCTGCTCCAAGGTTTTGATGAAGCATGGAGATAAAATGCTCCATTAGCTTTCTCAAACGAGTGCTGTAACTTTCTTCTGTTGTTGCGACGCTGTTTGCGCCATCGTCGTCAACCTGCTGAGACGCATCTCCCATGGCCGTTTTCTCCATCAGCCAGGAGTTGCCTATCGGGTCGATGTTGCCAGTGAGACCTCCTATCACACCGACACTTCTTCCACGCACGCGGAGGGCTTTTTCAGGATTGGGAAAATATATCCAGGGCTGAACTCCACGTGAGGCATCGAAAGATCTGGATTGATCCATGTGGGTACCACGGTATTCTTCATGAAAGTCCTTTGTCCCGAAGTCATATGACCACGATGGCATCAAGCCAGTCCCGGTACCCGGAGACGTCCTCTCAAGGCTGGCAAAGTATAACAGATAGATACTGTTAGTTTCTTTGATGACAACCATAGAGGTTTCTGTAAAAAGGTCTTGCAACGGTCGCCTGTAGTCGATTGCAACCTTTGCAAACACTCTAGCAGAAAAGGCGCGAAACGCGAATATTTTGTCCCTTGGCTCTGAAGATTGCAACGCTGAAAGTGCCTCAAAACCGTTGGAGAAAGTGAGAATATCGTGGCTGTAGCCCCCGAATACTCTGCGGTCGTTGTAAATGCGATGGTGGGGCGGATATGTATATGGTGCCAAGATGTGGCGGCCAAGGAAAATCATCTTCATCATGCCAGCGCAGGATATCATACTTGAGTTTTGACAAAGAATAGAAACATGAGCATTGGCGAACTCTTGAACGGTCCATACACGAGTCCAGTAGGAATTTTGTAGCATAGCGTGGATTGTGCTTCTATCACAGCCTATCATTGCGCCAGTTACAACATGAAATGTTAATGGATACTTGTGACTCGTCACCACGGGCTTATGAATGTTTAACTCACAATTCTGAAGGACAGCGTTTGCGATCAGTTCCTCTAGTCTTTCGACGAAAGTTTCTAGCCACTTGAAAGCCTTCCAGCGTTCTATCCAGTCGAAAAAATCACCCAGACGTCCCATATCAACATCTGGTAATAAAGCACACGCCGAAGAGCAAATGATAGTGCTTGATGTGAAAGGTGAGTCTCGTTCTCCAAGCCAAACTACCACCCTTGTTGCCTGGTTGTAAATCTCGGCCATCATCGCAACCTGGCTACTCTTGTCGTCGTTTGAGCCTTGATTGATGCAGATGGCATCCACCCATATCTTGACGCATTTGCGCCTGTTGATGCGTCGATGGAGGGACCTCCGACAAGCTCTCAAAGCGGCAGCGCAGTTGGGCGTGATAAGCAGCTGCGAGCCCGCCGCTGGGCTGGAGCCGACTTGCGCATTCCCAATCGTGAGCGGTTCGCTAGGAGTCTCGCCATTCCATGTGTAGGAAAGAGCAAGGTATTTTGGCGGATCGTCCAAGTCCATCTCGTCGAGGTCGCAGCTGAGTGGACATGAAGGATCTTTCGCCGTCCCAGGATACAGCCGGATCAATCGTGTGCACCTGGGACCCGACAAAGGCGGATACTGATAAGCGTTCATGATGTTGAGGGCGGGAGAGCGTGGCAGCAGCGTGAGAATCTCGCGAGAGGACAGAGCGGAAATTGAGAGACTGATGATGCAGTATTTGGAACAGAGACTCGGGGGAGAGATGAGGTGAGATTGACCCACGCGGGACGAGGGGTTCAGCTGCCATCTTATGGATCAGGCTGGGTCGGTGAAATGGATCATCTGCGCGCGGCGCAGTCGGCTTGGATGTTTACACAAGACCAATCATCGACCTGAACCGCCCTCGGTTATGCATCCGCTGAGGCAGGTTCTGTCACTGCTTCCCCAATTGACAGTAGCGCATTCAGAATCGTGAAGATCATAAACGGCGAAGCAAATTGATATGTAGGAAATTCTTCTTGCTTATGTCGTCAAGATCTATGATATGATATGGACAAATGAAAAACGTAAGATATTACAGGTAGGTATCACCAACGGCATGAAAAAGAATGCCCCCAAAGACACCGAGCCCCATGCAACCATCCCCGACTCCGTGACGATGCAAAGCCCATATATACCAACACAAGTAACCCACTCCCCGTCTATGGTATCCATACACTCTATCCTTCTCATCTATTTTCCTTTAAAAGCAGAAGACGGCATCCGTCATCTTGGACATGGACCCAGGCTTCTCAAAGCCCAAGTTCTCCAACGACTTCTTCGCGGCGTTGACCATGCCCGGCGGGCCGCACAGCATGATCTTGGAATCCGCGCCCGCCGGCGCGGGGAAGCGCTCGGCCATCATCTCCTGCGTGACGTACCCGACACCGCCGGTCCAGCCCTCGGGCGGGGTGTCGAGCAGGTAGTGCAGCTTGAAGTTCTTGGGGTACCGCCGCGCGAAGGCCTCGAGCTCGTCGCGCAGGAGGATGTCCGCCTCGGAGCGGTTCGCGTAGATCAGGCTGACCTCGGTGGTGTCGCGGTCGTCCTCGCAGATGGCGCGGATGAGCTGGAACATGGGCGTAATCCCCGTGCCGCCCGCGAGCATGCCGATCTTCTTGGTCAGGCCGCGGCTGTAGCGCATGGCGCCCTTGGGCCCGCGGAAGAGCACCTCCTCGCCGACCTCGACGTTGGCGAGGTACTTGCCCGTGAGCAGGCCGTCCGGGTAGCAGCGGATGACGAGCTCGAGGCGGCCGAGGTCGGCGTTGTTGGAGGTGGGCGTGTAGGAGCGCGAGACGGACTTGCCGTCGATCTCGGCCTTGATGGCGACGTGCTGGCCGATGGGCAGGCCGAGCACGGTGGAGGGCGTGGGCAGCTCGAAGACGAGGCGGTAGACGTTGGGCGCGATCAGGTGCTTCTCGGCGAGGGGGAGCGGGTGGTAGGTGACGGGGTCGAGCCAGCCGCGCTGGAGGAGGGGGTTCGGGCGGGCGACCTTGGGCATCTTCTTGTGCGGGCGGAACTTCATGGGGGTGAGGTCGTAGTGCAGCAGCGCGGAGAGCTTGTTGGCGGTGACGGTGCCGGCGACGGCGAAGATGGCGGAGGCGAGGGCGAAGCCCTCGACGAAGCCGAAGCCGGTGCGCTTGGGGCGGGTTCCGGCGGCGGCGGCGCTGCTGAGGGAGAGCCACTCGGGGAGGTGGAGGTTGAGGCGGTGGATGGCGGCGATGACGTCCTGGCCGGCGGGGGTGTTTGAGGCGTGGCGGGCGGCGACGGTGCCGAGGGCGAGGAAGACGGCGGCGGCGGCGGCTTGGCCGGCGATGCGGACGGGCCCGGAGGTTGTGTTTGAGGGGGACGCGGGGGCGGCTTTCGGGGCGACGCGGACGGCCTTGGGGGCGGTGCGCTTGTTGGCGCCCTTGAGCTTGCCGACGCGGAACTCGGCCATGATCTCGGAGGCGTCTTCGGAGTGGCCCGCGTTGTCGAAGGCTTCTGTGGCGTCGACGCCGCCGGCCTCGATGAGGACTTCTGCGCCGCCGGGGTGGTCGTGGAGGTACTTTGTCACATCGTAGACTTTTCGGGTGAGGAGTTAGTTTGGTGTTTTTGGTGATTGGAAGATAGGGAGAGGAGGGGTTGTTTACCTTCACCGCGGATGACCATCCAGCAGTCGTTGGCTTCTCTGTGAGCGGCGACCTCCTTGGCCGTGTACTCTTGGCCTTCTGTTGACGCCATGATGTGCGACGTGTGTATGTGTGTGTATTTGGAGGGGTATCTCAGGAAGTGGACCAAATAGATTGTGAGAGGAGTCGGTGTTGATGCGACAGAGCCGAAACTTGGGATGCAGGCAGGATATAAAAGGATTATCTATCTTTATTTATCAATAGGGAGAATGATGAGAATCACCGATAAGGTTCGGGTGAGATCGCAGTGGGAGAAAGGGCCCCTTTCGAGTCGAGGCTCGGGACGTGGAAACGCAGCCAGTATTATTTATCAACGATGGCGCCACGACAGCGTGCATGCAGACGCGCAAAAAAAAAAAAAAAAAAAAAAAAAAAAAAAAAGGATGGGATATCCACAATTAAAAAAATCATTCCAGATCACAATCGGCCGTGTGTCATGTCAAGTCCGTGTTCTTCTGGTCCATGGAACCAACCCATGGAAAGGGTGCCGGTGGTGGTAGGGGATAGGATAGCGTAATGTCCGAGACTGGGGGGCGTGGGCGGGCAAGATGCCGAGGTTCGAGATAAGTGCTGTGGATTCTTGGTTCTCTCGTCCTTTGAAATGCCTCGCAATGGTCACGAATTTAGGTGCATTTTGCTGGTGTGGATAACCCAAGGTTAGGCACATACGCAGTAGTAAGGTAAGGATGGGAACGGTGTGGGCACCGGGCGGGATCAAGCCGCGGCGATCGGACGGGTCGGCCGTCTGACAAAGAGGCGCGACGGGATTGGATGCCGGGCGGCGGCGGTGTCGGCGGTGACGATTGCGTTCGTCTTTTTTTCCCCTGGGGAGCTCTTTCCTTCGGAGGGGCCGAGGCCTCTCTGCCTTAGGTTGTTTCATGCCAAGTTGTCTTCAGCACTACGTTCTCCTCTCTCTCTGCCTTATCGGTGGTGGCCTGCGGCGAATGGTTGCCCTTTACAGACGGTGAACAGCACTCATCGCGAAAACGAAGCCCAGAGTCTCCAGAATTACGTGTGTCGAGGGCAGAAAAACAAGAGTCAGCACCTTCGCATCTGCCCGGTGCTGCGGTAAACAGGTCGAGTGCCGGCGGGCCAAGAGATGGCGGCTCAGGGCGAATCTTGGGTGGCTGTCATCTGTTCATGCAGGGCGCAACGCAGCGTGGCATGGGCGGGAGCTTCATCAAGCTTGGGTGGGAGCGGGAGCCCACATGGAAGCAGGCGAAGCTTCTCATTGGCTGAAATGTCCCTAAATTACGTGGGTGGCACTAATAAACAGCAGCCCCCAGCGAACACGCAACAAGCCGAGGCGCAACGGATTTCGGGACTTGGGACGCCGCCCTGTGGCTGCAGCGTGCAGGAAAAAGAGGGAAATATCGCATGAGCAAGGGGTCGATGGCATGGCAATGCAATGCAATTTGATAAGCCTCAGCGCGGCGCGGTGCTCTATTCGTAAGGTGGTCCCCTATTTTCGCTGTGTTGTCTCTTCGTTTCGCCTCGGCACCTTTCTTAGTGCTCTGTACACTACTTTTTAGCGCGTGCGGTACGTACCTACCTTAGGCAGTTAGCGCAGATCATCCACTTTAAGTCGGCCCCTGTCTCCCGCTTGGCCCTATCAAACGATGCGAATTCTTCTGATTCTTCTGATTCTTCTGATTCTTCTGATTCTTCTGATTCTTCTGATTCTTCTGATTCTTCTGATTCTTCTGATTCTTCTGATTCTTCTGATTCTTCTGATTCTTCTGATTCTTCTGATTCTTCTGATTCTTCTGATTCTTCTGATTCTTCTTCAAAGCCCCGATTTTTGCTTCCATTTTTTTTCGTCTCTTCCTTTTCGTATCGCCTCCGTTCCGCTGTCATGCCATCGAACCGCGGCTTGTCTCCGTCCACACCCCCCCCAAACAGACGGGTAACAAAACCCAAGTTCTAAACTACTCGTTCCAAATTGTTGTCCCACGCAGTCCACGCCGCCCACGGAGCCGATGCCGATTCAATGCTGCATGCCCGCCCGCGCACTTCGGACTTGGGCGCCCATGATCTCATCAACTCCCCTATCACGGCGCCGACCCGCCCACTCTTCCATGGTTCCCATCACCCACCACCCCTGGTCCGTTAGACACCTTGACGTGAACCTCGGCAGGCCACTTTTTCCCTCTCGCGTCTGAGCTGTTCGTCGGTCTGTTTCCACCGACGGGTTGCCATTGCCCAGGATCAGATTGGATAAGCTGCAGGCGGCATCGTTAATCTGCCTGGCCTGGACCTGGTGGTGGGATGGGATGGTACGTACCCTTTAGGGATTGCGACTTTTTTTTTTTTTTTTTTTTTTTTTTCTCTGCTCCTGTTACTTAAATATCGTGAGCTCGTGGCATCCCCATCTCGCACCACCTTTGGTTTGTTGTAAATACGTCTCTTATCTACTACCTCAATACCATTTTTTCCCTTAATCTGGTCGCATCATCACTTTCCATTCCATCTTGTGCGACATTCAAACCACACCACACATCACACGTACGCGCAATGTCATCACAACGCTTCTACCTGTTGGGTGAAGACCCTTCAGCCACAACAGAGATCGAGATCCCCGCCTCGACAGACGAGGAGGGCCTCCAGCATCTCGCCGCCTCTCACTTTGCCGTCGTCGACCACAAGGGTAAGCACCATCTCGTTCCCACCCTCACTCCTGCACCCAGCTAACAACCCCCCAAAGGCATCGGCTTCGTCTCCGGAGATGAGGCCCTGACAACCGTCGCCGACGTCCTCGCCGCCGAGGGCCCCGTCGCCCTCTCCATCGACGGCCACGCCGTCCGCGAGGTCCCCGGCCCGGCCGGCCTGCCCTTCATCGGCAGCTACTTCGAGGTCTACCCCGACCACCTCGGCAACCACCAGCGCCTCTTCGAGCGCTACGGCCCCTTCATCAAGACCAACAACATGGGCTCCGTCATCTACCACACAAACGACCCCAAGCTCGCCAACATCGTCTTCTCCGAGTCCGACTTCTTCACAAAGAACATCATCCCCGGCCACCCCCTCTACCCCATCAAGAACCAGGAGTCCGGCGTCTTCCTCGGCGACACCGACACCCCCGAGTGGAAGCTCGCCCACAAGTTCCTCCCGCCCGCCTTCGGCCCCAAGGCCGTCCGCCACTACGCCCCGACCATGCAGGCCACCGTCGAGGACGCCTTCAAGGTCTTTGACGAGCTCGACGACAAGGACGAGGCCTGGAACGTCTACCCCTACATGCTCAAGCTCGGCTCCCAGGCCGTCGGCAAGCTCGTCCTCGGCATGGACTTCAAGCATTTTACGGCGGTCGACGCCCCGCCCCACGAGATGGTCATCCGCATCGCCCAGTCCCTCGAGCTCAACAAGAAGATCACCTCCATGGGCTCCTGGTACGCCAAGCTGCCATTCGGCGACCCCCAGCGCCTGCGCGACGCCCGCGGCCGCATCATCGACATGATGAACGAGTCCATCGCCGCCGCCTCCCGCGGCGGCACCGCCAACCTCGAGCTGCAGGAGGCCGCCCTCAACGCCGACAACATGGTCGACTACGTCCTCCGCGCCGCCGACCGCGACGGCAACAAGCTGCCCCAGGACCGCATCATGGAGCCCCTCGTCGTCGCCACCGGCGCCGGCTTCACCACCACCTCCTCCCTGCTCTCCTGGCTGCTCTACGGCCTCGTCGCCTACCCGGGCATGCAGGAGCGCCTCCTCCAGGAGCTCATCGACAACGGCTTCGACGAGAACACGCAGATCACCGCCGAGCTGACGCAGAAGCTCACCTTCCTCGACAAGTACATCAAGGAGACGCAGCGCAAGCACAACCCGTCCTACCAGCCCGCGCGCACCTCCAAGGTCGACATGGTGCTGCCTGGCGGCTACAAGCTGCCCAAGGACAGCATCGTCATCCCCGCGATCCACCACATTCACAACAACACGCTCGTGTGGGACAACCCGGCGCGCTTCGACCCGGACCGCTGGGACACGGAGCAGGTCAAGAACCGCCCGAACGCGAGCTACATCCCCTTCGCGACGGGCCCGCGCATGTGCATCGGCTTCAACTTTGCGCTGCAGGAGGTCAAGGTCTTCCTGCCCAAGCTGGTCTACCGCTACAAGTTCAGCCTCGCGCAGGACAGCGCTGTGGAGTACGACCCCATGTTCCAGCTCATCCGCCCCAACAACCTGTACGTGCGCGCCGAGAGGAGAGTCAAGTGGCCTCCCAGGAGCGACGCTTAGAGTTGTGTAAGATTGGGATAGGATGAGTTTCGGGTTTGTGTTATTTTGTATGTACCATATTTGTCGGTGTATACCCTTTGGAGCATTGCATGGCGCGGGAATCTGGGGCAATTGGGGTTAGATCTCATGACATAGACATTAGAGCTGGATAGATCTAGACTAATTACAACTTCTACTTGTTCACATTCATCTCTTCCTGCTCGTCTCCAGTGCTTCCAAATGCGGCAATGCGATGAGGCCATCACCACGACCGACTGCCCCGCGCATCATCGAGCCTCAGAAAACACGACACGAAAAGTGCCCCGCCGTCTCCACCCAAGACCTCGAACCCCCACATCCCAGGGGCGGTAATGCCGACACCTGGATTCTTAAACCTTCTGCCAAGTGCCGATCCCTCTTTCACAAATACGACATTGGAAAATCATGCGAAATCAAACATTTTCGATGGCTTGCTCGAAACAAGTTAGATCGCAAAGTATGCCACCGGCATCCCCTGGTAATCGACAGGAGAATATTAGAAAGCTGTCGGGGAGAAACTTCTCGGCGGACAGGGCATCTGGGAAGCGAAGAGTGGGGGCGAGATGAAGGGACAATATTTAAAGGGACAAAAAGACGAAAAGCCCAATTCGATCTAGAATCAAGTCCATGTAAGCGGTTGTGGTTTTACATGATAGCCTTATCTTACGACTTGCTGTTCGATTAAGAAGGGCTCAGGCTCAAGATGCCCTGCGAGACAACTCGCGTTTGGTCTTTTTCTAAGTTCGGGAGGCTTTAGACGCACTGCTGTCCCTCTGAACCGCTCTCATACCATGGAGTAAATTGATTGAGTGTTGAATCGAGAACTGGGTGGTGACAGTCCCAATGTGGAAAATGAGTCTAGATAATTTGATATAGTCTCGTACTTATCTCGGAGTACGTACCGACCACTTCCACCTTATGTAAGGGCACGAAACTGCAGGAAATAGTTAGACGACTGCCCAACGACATGTCCTAAATCTCCATCTCACCATCGGCATAATTCTTCAACCTCTCACCTAGCCAGAGCCGGAGATCGCGCTTTGTTTTTATCTACATAAGCCGCACCGGACGATATGCCACGTCCCAAATTCTCACAGAATGCACCGCCGCCCCAAAAGCCGGTCTACTCAGATGCCTCAAGTTCCTATTGGCCACCGGGCTGGAACTATGACCGCTACCGCCATGCTACTCACGCTGACATCGCCGAGCTTCCTGAGGGGGAGCTTTTGAAGATGCAAGCGGGGCTGCGCGACGTGCTCGGCGAGGAAGGGGTGGGGAGGTTGGCAATGCACGTGTACGAAGAGCAGCAGCGGGGATTGGGCAACAATGCTAAGGAGAGTGTGCCGGAGTACTTCCCGCCGAACTGGCTCAAGCATTGGAACAAACGCCACAAGGGCCAGACGTGGGGTGTGGTGGCCTTCCGGACAGCCAGCTACGACGACGCGGAGCGATGGGAAGCATTCGTCAAAGAAGTGGGCAGGATTGTTGAGATTCCTTTCCAGAGGGCGGTCGAGGAAGGCAACGTTCCTGAGGAGTCTATGGAATCCATTGAGGAGGCCAGGTCCAAGTTTGAGGTCAGATGGATTGAAGATGTTGCCCTGGCAGACGAAAGCGTCGACGACCTCCGGGCCAGATTCGACGGCCTCAAACCGGACCTACCCGCCGGCATGTCGGACAAGGTCTTCCTCGCCGCGTCAGATGAGGCAGTTGCATCCGTGCTGGACTTGGAGGAAGCCGAACGGCCGACTACGAAGTCCAAGTGTTGGCGGCCATCGGCGCCGTTCCTGGTTGTCGTCGCCGTGGATCCTGATCCGGGGCTGGAGGAAGGTCATGAGGAGAGGGAGTGGTTCAGGCCCATCTTCAAGGTGGCAGCGGAAGTGGTGGTTGAGGAGCTGTTGTGGCTTCTGGACTCTGACATCATGCCCTTGAGAAGAATCACGCGAAGCGTCAAGGGATTGGAAAACATCACAGGTAATGAGGTCGTCGGGGACAGGGAATCGGATGATCTCTGGTGGAGTACGGCTCCTTCTGCACAGAGAATGAGGAAGCGTCGTGGAGCATGAGCGCTGCGTCTTGGAAGAACAGCAGTTGATGAAAGGATGTGTAGAAGTCAAAAGAATCTTGACTGTTAATCAAATCTCTCATTGTTACACCGTTCATATATGCCAGGTGATTTGTCGATAATGTCATATAAGAAAAGTAATCTTCAGCAGAATCACGGCGAACGTATATTTAGAAACCCGAACAGCCGCCGCCTCACCAGCACTACAACTGTAAGTCTTGGCACACGAATGGAATGAATGAAGCTTACTCCCACTAGAAATCCCAGCCATCTCCAACTAGTCATCATCGCCACGGTCAGATGAGTGCATAAGAGCAACAGCAGGCGTTACGTCCTCTTGTGGCACGCCGAGGCTGGTTAACATCTGAGCCTCTATACCAAGCTCCTGCGTAAGATATGCTGCCATCGTCCATCCCAGTTTCTGATCATACCAACCCTCTTTAATCGATCTTTTCCTCAGCCTTCCGTCATTCTTCCCCCGTGGTCGCACAAAGATGAACTGGGAGAGACCTGCCTGCTGTTCCTGTACGAGAGACTTGACCGTATCAAGAACGGGATGCTTCCCGAGAATCGCAGCAGTCAAAACACTGCCATAATCCCCAAACTCCAGATATGCGTTGACATCAGCGCCATTTTCAACGAGGAAGCGACCGCAGTCCAATTGCCCCATCGATACAGCAGCTGCCAAGGGGCTACCATACGGGCCGAATTCTGGGTTCATGTTGACGTACGCTCCATGCTCCACAAGAAGGCGAGCGGATTCGAGTTCTACCTACATTGCATACAGAAGCAGTCAGAGGACTCCCAAAGTCTCTATACTTAAGTTGGGCGTTGACATCTGCACCCTTCGCTCTGAGAAAGCGTGCACAGTCAAGCGACCCCTCCCGCGCTGGTTTTCGGGACAGGTGAAACCTTGGTGTGATCTTCTCCCTAGTTACATCACTGGTACTGTCTTTGATAACGATTGGCTTTTTACCGAACGTTCACTTAGACTGCTATACTACGTCTGGAGTGATCACATAAACTCCATTGCTAAACATTACTTAGTATCAATTGTAAACTAACTATAACGTATATATAGTATCTATATGAATAAAAAGCTTAATTCCTTCTAAATCAGTATCTAACGCAAAGGGCTTTTTAAGGAATAGACTATAATATACTAAAATAATATTAGCTTAAATAAGTAGGTTACCTTATACTTTCTTCTAAGTATAAAGCTATTTTAAATATTTAAAAGTATTATAATATACCTCTTTAGATTTAAAAGAACCTAAAGATTTTAATTCTATATACCTAACGCTATATAATCTAAATATATATATAAAACGCTATAAACAGATATGAAAAGAGGTAATTAATAAAAGAAATTAATAAAAAGAATAACTTTATAGCTTTATTATTAAATTATAAAAAAAGAAAAGGCTTTTCTTTTTATATATTTTTTATTATAGTTAATATTATAAATACTAAAATAATAACTAATATTATTATTTTACTTCATAAGAATAGAGGCTTTTATTAGCTTAAATAAAAAAGTTAAAGTAGTTAATATAGAAATAAAATAATAATAATAATAGTATCCTTTATAGTATTTCTACTTTCTAACTTTCTTTTTTTATCTATATTATTATAAATATATATATTATTTATTATATATATATATATATTTATACTATAATTATAATATTTTCTTTTCATTTATAATATTATTTGTGATACTAACTATATTATTTAGATAACTAAAAAGACTAAAACTAAATATATAGTTATAATAATTAAAATAGAAACTATTTTTACTAATAAGAAATAGAAAGAGAGAAAGAAAAAAAGAAAATAATAGTAATACTCCACTTTTATTTTTTTTAGAGCTTAAAAGCCTTAAATTTAAGAATAAATTATCTTATTCTCTATTTTTAGTGTTTTAAAGTCTTCTCTTTATTATAATATTCTTAATTCATTTTATTATTTCTATAGATTAATTACTAATTTAAGTTATTTTATAAAAGCTAAAACTAATAAATTTAATAAAAGTAAGAAGTTTAGAGAAAGTAAAAAAACTACAGAGAAATACAATTCAAAATCTATAACTCTTATTCTTCTATTTATTTATAAACTATACTAAAGATATAAATAAAATATGTTTTAAATCTAAATTTCTAGTTATATTATTATATTATTTATTAATCTTTAAATAGAAATAGAAGCTTTAAAAGCTAAAAGTTAAAAAAAGAGTAGCTACTACTACTAAGTAAAATACTTTATTTGTTGTACTCATAAAACATTTAAATAAATATGTTAATTAATATATATATATTTAATATGAAGTAAAAGAATAAATATACTTTTCGTAGAGAAAAAGAGAAATTATATAAATGTATATTATTATTTACTTTTATACTAAAGCTTTCATTCTTTTAAGCTTCATGTAATAATATTAACAAGTTTATACATATTATCTTATAATTTTTATATTACTATTTATTTAGCTAACTTTTTATTAAGTTTTTACTCTTAAGAAAATTATATTTTAAAAAGCTTTGAAAGCTTATAATAAAGCTAAAATGAAAACTAAAACTAAAGCTAAAATAAAGACTAAAGCTAAAGAGACTATAGCTAAAGCTAAAACTAAAAATAAAGATAGTAATAAAATACCTATTAAAATTATAACTTCTCTTTTAATACTAGCTATTACTTTATGAGTTAAACTTATTATGGAGGATATATTAATCTCTAATAAATTATACATTAGTTGATTTTCTAAAATAACTATTTTTATCTCTAAAATACCTAATATTTATACTATTATTGATAACTTTATTAATAGGTATTTCTCTAAAGCGATAAAGTTCATACATAATATCTTTATAGATAACTATATATTTACTCTCTAAAAATGTAAATAAGATATAGCTTTTATATTATTTAATATTTTATAAAATATAAATATTTTAAGTTTTTTAAAAAGCTATATACCTTTTAGCTATTAAGCTATTTTTAATTACAAATATTTAGAAAATATAGCTTTATTTATTATTTAACCTCTCCTTTTTATTTTGTGCTATTAATTATAATATATCTGTTACAACCCATTAGGCTTAGCTACCAACACAACCCCGCCAGGCTCTCAGCAGCTAACATGGGACATATGTGACCTAGTGACATAAGGATGATTAGGGATCCTCGGAACGGAAGAACTATGGATAAGTTATACAACCTTAGGAATAGCATGGATAAGGACAGCTGCAGGACAATATATTCAATATATAAGATATTCTAACTATTCTGGAATATATAGGATATCTGAGATATTTAATACAGGCAGCCTGAAGGAATAGTTTAGGACTTATATATAGGATAGACTTAAGCTTAGCTTAGGGATAGACTTCTATAGCTCTTTAGTAATTAAGCTTATATTTATCTCTTAGATATTTTTAGTATATCTTATACTATAAATATCTTATTAAGCTTATAACTAATTATTATAACCTTTTAGACTTTAATCTACTTAGAATAACCTTAGAGACCTTTTAATAATATATTACTATTTATTAGTGTTATCCCTCAGCTTCTATTAGTAGACCCTATTATTAGATTAGCTAACTATAACATTTTAATTACTCCTATTTAGTAAGTTAACCTTAGATACTGCTAAACAGTATAGATAAGATATCCTCTTACACTTCTGTTAAATCCCCTACCCTAAGATCCTCCTCTGCAGCCTCTAGTGGATAAGCCCCCTAAAACCTAGCCTAGGAACTTAGAGATCAGGAAATAAAAGATAAAGACAACATAGAGAGCGATAATAATAGCAATAATAATAACAACAAGCTTAAGCAAAAGCTCCAGAAAACTAAGAATAACTTTTAGGAAATATAGAACTTATTTAACTAGAACGCTATAGCCCTAAAGGAACTTCAGGAGCAGGCTAAATATATTTATAAACTTAAGAAAGAAGTTACCACCCTCTAAGCAGCTGCTAATATTATCTTAGCCTTAGTTAAAAGATAGGAACACCTTAAGCTTAATACTCCTGCCACCTTTAATAGAACCTTTAGATAACTTAAGGGATATTTAGTCTAAATATAAACCTATTAGGCCTTTTACTTTAACACTTTTCAGAATAATACTAAATACGTTATTTATACTATAACCTTCCTTAAGGGAAAAGCCCTCATATAATTTAAACCCCTCTAATAGGAATAGCTTAACAACCTAGTTGAGAAATATAAATAAAAAGTTAAAAATATCTTCTTTAGCTTTATAAGCTATATAAAAGAACTTAAATTGCTCTTCCTCAACCTTAATAAAAAGCAATACGCTGAGAGAGACCTCTCTAACCTTCAATAGACTAAGTTAACTACACTCTATACAGCTGAATTCAGACGACTTATAGCTTAACTTAATATAACTAATAAAAATAAAGTCTTTACTTTCTACTAAAGCTTTAAAGATAATATTAAGGATAAAATAGCTAAAGTTAACACCCCCCCTAGCTTCCTAGACTATATTAAATATGCTATGAAAATTAATAATTAACTATTTAAGCAATATATGTAAGGGGCTGGCCCCTAGGCTTGTTCAACGTAGAGGTGCCGTTGATTGACTATTCTAAGCTGAAGAAGGAAGAAAGGACTTTACAAGAGTAGGCACCTAACAGCGGTGAAGCAGACCGGGTTAGGCGGTGTAACGCGGCAGAGTAGTGGGTCCAACGGAGCCGGATCTCAGTAATTGCTCCGGCAAAGCCGGAGATATCAATCCGGGCTCTAGCCCGTGACATTACCCCCCCGCTCCCCTCCGGCGGCGTGCCCGCAGCCCTAAGGCTGGGTCTCCATCATGCTCCATCGCGGAGCCATAACGGCGTTCATAAGCCTCCAATGCTTCTGTCCCCTGGAGCGTCTCAATAGGCTCCCAGGTCCTCTCTGCGTATCCTTCCCACTTAACCAGAACTTCGCAGCGTCGCCCGCGCCCTCGACGCTTCCAGGTAGCAGCGTCGATACTCTCTATATTCCAGGTCTCCTCGCCTTCGTTATCTATAATTAGTGGCGGCTGCTCGTCATCTAGCGTTTGCCTAGGTAAAGGGTTGTTACCTGCACGCTTCAGGGTATCCACGTGGAAGCATGGGTATATAGCTGTTAGCACGTTAAGCTCTACTATATATAGTGAGATAACCTTCATAACAGTATACTTATAGTGTAACTAATCCAGTTTCTTATATAGCCTAAGGGACCTATAGTGGCCTATGTGAAGCCAGACTTTATTGCCTGCTTCTAGTCTCTCTGTAGGCTGGCGCTTCCTGTTAGCCAGCTCCTCATAGCGTTACTGCGTTGAGGCAAGGGTCGACCGTGCTATATCTATCACGTCCTGGAGCCTTGTTACCAACTTACGTGCTAGGTCCTCACGAGGGCCCTCATGGTCTTCTGGGTCTGTCTCTTGAACCCAGACAGGCTCTAGGTGGTATCTGTGTTCTAAGAAGAAGCTGCTCATGCCTATAGCGCTGCTATCGCAGCTGCAGAGCGCTAGTTAGGCTGCTGGGAGGTTATTCGCCTAATCCTTCTGCGAGTAGGTAATATAATTACATAGGTAGGCCTAGATCTCTTAGTTTATCCTTTCTAGGCTGCTATCAGTCTGTAGGTGATAGGCAGTACTAAGCTGCTGTTCTATTCCTAAAAGCTTGCAGAATTGCCGCCAGAAGCAGCTTGTCCAGTTGCTTCCTCTGTCGCTCACAATTGAAGTAGGGACGCTATAGAAGCAGAAGTAGCAGCTTAGGAATCGTTTAGCGTAGGCTTCAGCTTCTATACTTTCTATAGCTTTAAGGGTTATACCTTTTCCTAGCTGGTCGATAATTACCTAAAGGTATCCCTCACCCTTATCTGTAAGGGGAAGGTTGGTAATAAAATCCATAGCGAGGTTGCTTTATATACGCTGCAGTATTAGTAGAGGTTTCAGAAGTCCTTTTTGATGCTCTCTCCAGATGTGGCTTCGCCTGCAGCCATCGCAATTGCAGCAGAAGCGTCATACTAGCTGTGACTGGCCAGGCCAGTAGAAGCGCCTACTGACCAACGCGAGGGTATTATCTCTACTAGGGTGTCCACTAAGTACTGAGTTATAGCTGCTTTAAACGATATAAGTACGTAGTGTGTTCGCCTCGCTATCTAGGTCTTCACTACCTGGTACCTAGATCCAGTCTCTGAATAGTAGTCGGTTACTATTATCGATCTCACACTTAGCAATCTGGACCTTTAGCTTGAGGCTAGGAGGGAAGCTTCTTTCTTGTTGTTTCACAGCATTATATGCCTGCTGGTAGACTTAGTCTTGCCCTTAGGTCTGGTCCCAGAGTTGCTGTAGTTCCTTATCGTCGGTGAACATAAGCACTGATGGGGCTGCCTCTACGCGTTGTGTATGCGTTGAGGTAAGGGCTACTTCGGGAAGAAGCTGGAGGATCCAGCCTTATTCGCGCTCATCCTCTAGAGACGTAGGTATATCTTGTTTACGTCTAGAGAGTGCGTCTGGCACTACTGCTTCACTTCCTGGCTGGTACTATATCTCAAAGTTATACTGAGATAGTTCCTCTGCCTATCAGCTTTGCCGTTCTGTAAGCTTCTGCTTCGTCATAAAGTACTTTAGGTTCTTATAGTCTGATAGGATCCTAAAGTGGCCGACACTCTGTAGCTCTGCTCTCTATTCTTATAGGCAGCTCATAATAGCTAGCATCTCCTTGTCATATATCGGATAGTTGAACTGGGCAGCGTTAAGCCGCTGCGAGTGGTATGCTACTGCATGACGTCTTCTGTGCTTATCTTCTTATGACAGTACTCCTCTAAGGGTGAAGCCTGAGCAGTCAGCCTCAACGTAGGTTATACGCTCAGGGTTGAGTTGGTGTAGAACAGGCTTAGCTGCAAAGATCCTCTTAAGCTCCTAGAACGCTGCTTCTTATTCCTTACCCCAGCAGAAGAGGACACCCTTCTTTGTAAGAGCTATTAGGGGTCCAGCGATCTCTGAGTACGCTGGGATGAAGATTCAGTAGTAGTTTGCAAATCCTAGGAAGCTTTGGACTCCCTTAACCGTCCTTAGCGCAGCCTATTCCTTAATTGCTTTCAGTTTCTCAGGGTCGCAAGAGATACCTACACCTGCAGTGATGATAAACCCTAGGTACTTAACTGTCTTAACACAGAACGCGCACTTATGGAGGTCTAGATGTAACCCTGCAGCAGCAAGCTTATGTAGTACTAGCTTAACCTTTGCTTCGTGGTCTTACCTTAAGCTATTTAAGTAGATCAGGACGTCGTCTATATATGCTGTCGCAAAGTCGTCTAGGTACTCCTAAAGTACGCTATTGATATATCGCTGAAACGTAGCAGGGGCTCCTGTGAGCCTAAAGGGAACGACAAGCCACTCAAATAGCCTATATCTTGTTCGGAAGGCTGTCTTATACTCCTCTCCCTCTGCGATTCAGATCTTATAGAACGCTGCTACTATATCTAGCTTAGTGAACCACTTAGCAGCGCTAACAGTCTGTAGCGTCTCTCGAATCAAAGGAAGAGGGTATCAGTCGCACCTTATAAGTTCGTTAAGGGCGTAGTAGTCAACATAAAAACATATCCCTCCACCTGGTTTACATATAAATAGTACTAAGGCTGATGCTTCTGAGCTACTAGTGCGGATAAAGCCTTTATCTAGTAGGTCTCTCAAGGTCTTACGGAGGATGAGAAGCTCTTCTCGTGACATGCTGTAGAGCAGCCCCCATGGTAGTGCAGCCTCGTTGCCGTCGCTCTCCTGTTTGATAGGGATCATGTGGTCGACTCCAGGGCGATGCGGAGGAAGGTTAGCAGCTTCGTCAGGTTGGAATAGCTCTCGGAACTCAGCTAGTACAGCTGGTGGAAGGAGGGCCTTTAGGTCTGCCTTCTCAGTCTTCCTCGTAAGAGCCTTCTGTATATCTGCTAAGCTGATCGCTCGAACTTTATATCCTGCAGTTCCTTTGGTTCGTTGTTGTGCCCTCCTATAGAGCGTTGCAAAAGGGGCTCCTGGGAGGAGGCGGGCAGCCCTGATCTGGCGTACTCGCTCTAGCTCTCCCTCGCCTTTCAGACGTAAGTCTACACCACCCCTCCTATGCTGTATACGCTAGGCAGCAGCATCATATAATATATAGTTCCTCTCCATCTAGGGTTTCCCTAAGAATAGGTTGTCGCTAAGGCTACATACGGTATACGTAAAGATCTTCTCATCATAACCGTACAGCTTGAGGTTAAAGATAACTACGCCTGTTGCTTTCGTAGCGCCTATAATGTTGCTGAAGCTGCCTAGTACCCGCTCAGAGCGATCTACTATTAGCAGGCGGAGCTTACAGGCAAGGTTGTGGTCGATAAGGGCATATAGGTCGCACCCAGTATCTACTAAGGCGTCTGCTTAAGTGCCCTTATATATACAGGTAGTGATCACTGCTGACTTGCCGCTCATGCGATGCTTAAACTGCTTCCATTCTGTGATATCACTAGGCTTTGCCTCTAACGCCCAACTTTGCGTTAGAGTTACTCTTTTCCCAAGCTTTCTTCAGCCTCAGAACTTCCTGGCTCCTCTGTAGCACTATCATTACTGCTTCCTTCAGGCTTAGGGTCCTTCTTAACCTTTTTGACCTTCTTAGCCTTCGTAGGGCTGAGAGGCTTCCGCCTAGGGCACCATATAGCGATATGGCCGATCTGGTTACAGTTGTAACAACAGCGACTATCCTTCTTTGGTTGTTGCAGGTCTTCAGATGAGGAGGAGCTGCTATGTCGGCGACGTGGCCTTACCCTCTCCTTGCCCTTAGCGCGGCTAACGCCAGACATCGCTATATCTCTATCTGCGTCTTATTAGCCAGGTTGTGGTGCTTTCGAATAAGGTGGGGTACCCTTATGCGCCTGCTGAGGTAGGCTTTTAAGCTTGATAGCGAAATCCTGAACTTTGAGAAGCCATCTGTGGTAGTCGTCCTTAGGAAGTTTAATATAGATCAGACCCCTCTTAAGATGAGTACTAAGGGCCCCTTTAAGGAAGGCTATCTTAGCTTTATCTGCCCAGTTGGCGCCACCAGCCTCAGCTAGTGTTCGCTCAAACTGGGGTAGAAAGGAGGATAGAGACTGATCGTCTCGCTAGCGAAGGGTTCGTAGCGTGGTTGCTGCCCGTAGATCTATATTTAGGTCCTTATACGTCCGGTCAAGGTACTTGAGGAATTCGACAGAGTCCTTCTGCCCACCTAGACCTCCTGCTGCGTAGAAGGTAGCTACAACCTGCTGTGGCCTGCTATCAAGGCAGGAGTTAATAAAGTACTAGATATCAGCATTACTGCTAATATACCTTGCATCTAGCTCTATCTTGTTGCGCATCTGCTGGGCCCATGCTGCGTAGTCCTTACGCCTTCCTGTGAACTTCGGGGGGTTTGGCAGGGGCTTCTTTCGCCCTTCTGTTGCTATTGTTATACCGTCGCTTATTGCCTGTATAGTTATATCGGCGGTGGACGGTGTGGGTACGCTGCTCGTAAGCAGCGTAGGGGTCGCTCTATCTGTTGACATAAGCCCGTTCAGAGCTGTCAAGAGCTGCGTCATCTGGTCCTGAAGAGGACGTATGCTTGCGTTGACTGCTTCGTTAACCCTGCGGTTAATCTCTGCAGTCATCGCGTCGTTTGCGCTACCCTCAGGCGAATCCATTATGTCGCACTCGTGAGGTTTCGTATAGCGTCTTCTCGTTGCGCTACCCTCTAGCGAATCAGTCGTATTGCTCTCGTGAGGTTTCATATAGCGTCTTTTGTTGTTAAGCTGAGAATATGTAAGGGGCTGGCCCCTAGGCTTGTTCAACGTAGAGGTGCTGTCGATTAACTATTCTCAGCTGAAGAAGGAAGAAAGGACTTTACAAGAGTAGGCACCTAACAGCGGTGAAGCAGACCGGGTTAGGCGGTGTAACGCGGCAGAGTAGTGGGTCCAACGGAGCTGGATCTCGGTAATTGCTCCGGCAAAGCCGGAGATATCAATCCGGGCTCTAGCCCGTGACAGGCACTTAAGCAGACGCCCTAATAGATATAGGGTGTAACTTATACACCCTTATTAACTACAACCTAGCCTGTAAGCTCTACCTGCTAGTAGTGGACCGCTCTAAGTGAGTACTAGGCAGCTTCAGCAACGCTATAGGCGCTATAAAAGCAACAGGTGTGGTTATCTTTAACCTTAAGCTGTGTAGTTATAATAAGAAGATCTTCATATATACTATATATAGCCTTAGCGATAATCTGTTCCTAGGGAAGCCCTAGATAGAGAGGAACTGCATCCTATATAATGCTGCTGCGCAATAGATACAACATAAGAGGGGCGGCGTAGACCTACGTCTAAAAGGTGAGGAGGAACTGCATCCTATATAATGCTGCTGCGCAATAGATACAACATAAGAGGGGCGGCGTAGACCTACGTCTAAAAGGTGAGGAAGAGCTAGGACGAGTGCACCAGATCAAAGCTGCCCGCCTCCTCCTAGGAGCCCCTTTCGTAACGCTTTATAAGAGGGCATAACAACACACCAAAGGAACTGCAGGATATAAAGTTCAAGCGATCAGCCTAGCAGATATATAGAAGGCTCTTATGAAGAAGACTGAGAAGGCAGACCTAAAAGCCCTCCTCCCACCAGCTGTACTAGCTAAGTTCTAAGAGCTATTCCAACCTGATAAAGCTGCCAACCTTCCACTATATCGCCCTAGGGTCGACCATAAGATCCCTATTAAATAGGATGGTAGTAGTAATAAAGCTGTACTACTATAGGGTCTGCTCTATAGCATATCATAAGAAGAACTCCTCATCCTCCGTAAGACCCTATAAGACCTACTTAATAAGGGCTTTATCTGCGCTAGCAGCTCAGAAGCATTAGCCCTAGTACTATTCGTATATAAACCAAACGGAGGAATATATTTCTATATTAACTACTGCGCTCTTAACAAGCTTACTAAGCGCAACTGATACCCTCTTCCCTTGATTTAAGAGATGCTACAGACTGTTAGCGCTGCTAAGTGGTTCACTAAGCTAGACGTAGTAGCAGCGTTCTATAAGATCTAGATCGCATAGGGAGAGGAGTATAAGACAGCCTTCCAGACGAGATATAAGCTATTTAAATAGCTAGTTATCCCCTTTAGGCTCACAGGAGCCCCCGCCACATTCTAACGATATATCAACAGCATACTTTAAGAGTATCTAGATGACTTTGCAACAGTATATATAGATAACATCCTGATCTACTCAAACAGATTATAATAAGACCATAAAGCAAAGGTTAAGCTAGTACTGGATAAGCTTACTGCAGCAGGGCTATATTTAGACCCTCATAAGTGTGCATTCTCTGTGAAGATAGTTAAGTACCTAGGGTTTATTATTACAGCTGGAGTTAGTATCTCTTGTGACCCTGAGAAACTGAAGGCGATTAAGGAATAGGCAGCTCTAAAGATAGTTAAGGGAGTCTAAAGCTTCCTTAGATTTACAAACTACTACTAGATCTTTATCCCAGCATACTTAGAGATTGCTGGACCCCCGATAGCTCTTATAAAGAAGGGTGTCCCCTTCTACTGGGGTAAGGAATAAGAAGTAGCATTTTAGGAGCTTAAGAGGATCTTTGCTGCTAAGCCTGTTCTATATCAACTGGACCCTAAGCGTACAACCTATATTGAGGCTGATTGCTCAGGCTTTGCCCTTAGAGGCGTACTCTTATAGGAAGATAAGCATAGCAGATGTCACGCAGTAGCCTACTACTTACAGCAGCTTAACGCTGCCCAGTTTAACTATCTGATATATGATAAGGAGATGCTAGCTATTATAAGCTGTCTATAAGAATAGAGAGCAGAGCTATAGAGTGTCAGCCACTTTAGGATCCTATCAGACCATAAGAACCTAAAGTACTTTATAATAAAGCAGAAGCTTATAGAACGGCAAAGCTGATAGGCAGAGGAACTATCTCAGTATAACTTCGAGATATAGTACCAGCTAGGAAGCAAAGCAGTAGTGCCAGACGCACTCTCTAGATGTGAATAAGATATACCTATATCTCTAGAGGATAAGCGTAAATAAAGTTGAATCCTATAGCTCCTCCTAGAAGCAACCCTACCCTCAGCGCCTATACAACATATAGAGGCAGCACTATTAATGCTTATATTTACTGACGACAAAGAACTACAGCAACTCTGGGATCAGACCTAAGGATAAGATGAAGTCTACCAGCAGGCCTATACTGCTGTAAAACAACAAGAAAGAAGCTTCCCCCCAAGCCTTAAGCTAAAGGTTCAGATCGCTAAGTGTGAGATTAATAATAGCAACTAACTACTGTTCAGAGATTAGATTTAGGTACTAAGTAATAAAGATCTAGATAATAACGCAAACACACTATACACCTATATCATTTAAAGCACCTACAACTTAGTGCTCAGTAGCTATCCAGGAAGAGATAACACCCTCGCGCTGGTTAGTAGATGGTTTTACTAGCCTGGTCAGTCGCACTTAGTATAACATTTCTGCTGTAACTGCGATAGTTATAAGCGTAGTTATATCTAGAGGGAAAGTCGTAAAGGACTTCTGAAACTACTACTGATACTATAGTGTATACAAAGCAACCTCGCTATGGATTTTATTACTAACCTTCCCCTTACAGATAAGGGCGAGAGATATCTTTAGGTAATTATCAACCGGCTAAGTAAAGGCGTAACCCTTAAGGCGATAGAAAGCATAGAAGCTGAAGCCTGCGCTGAATGATTCCTAAACTGCCACTTTAGGTTTCACAGCATCCCTATATTAATTATGAGCGACAGAGGGAGCAACTGGATAAGCTACTTCTGGCGGCAGTTCTGCAAGCTTTTGGGAATAGAGCAGCAGCTCAGCACCACCTACTACCTACAGACTGATAGAGGCCTAGAGAGGATAAACCAGGAGATCTAGGCCTACCTATGCAACTACGCCACCTACTCACAGAAGGACTAGGTATATAACCTTCCAGCAGCTCAGCTAGCGCTTTGTAGCTGCGATAATAGCGCTATTAGGATGAGTAGCTTCTTCCTAGAGCATAGATATAACCTAGAGCCTATTAAGGTCAAGGAAGCAGGCCCAGCAAGCCCTGAGGGCACCTGTGAGGGCTATGTTACGACCGCTACAGTTGGTCACTGTAGGATTGTAACTATATAATGCAGAACAGGGGATAATGACAGCAGATTTGTCATTAGCGAAGCTTTTGCTTTGTGCCGCAGTTGGTTGCCCTGACCCGCTTGTAACAGGCTAAGCACGCAAGTTGGTAATAAGGCTTTAAGATGTGATGGATATAGCCTAATCGGCCCTCGCCTCAACACAGTAACGCTACGAGGAGCTGGCTAATAGGAAACGCCAGCCTACAGAGAGACTAGAAGTAAGCGACAAAGTCTGGCTTTATATAGGGCATTATAGATCCCCTAGGCCTTATAAGAAACTGGATTAGTTACACTATCAATATATAGTTACAAAAGTTATCTCACTATATATAGTAGAGCTTGATATACCAGCAGCTATATACCCACGCTTCTATATAGATATCCTGAAGCGCGCAGGTAATAACCCCTTACCTAGTTAAACGTTAGATGATAAGCAGCCGCCACTAATTATAGACGATAAAGGCGAAGAGATCTAGAGTGTAGAGAGTATTAACGCTGCTACCTGGAAGCGTCGAGGGCGTGGGCGACGCTGCGAAGTTCTGGTTAAGTGGGAAGGATATACAGAGAGGACCTAGGATCCTGTTGAGACGCTCCAGGGGACAGAAGCAATAGAGGCTTACGAACGCCGTTATTGCTCTGCGATGGAGCACGATGGAGACCCAGCCTTAGCGCCGCAGGCGCGCCGCTGGAGGGGAGCGGGGGGGTGATGTCACGGGCTAGAGCCCGGATTGATATCTCCAGCTTCGCCGGAGCAGTTACTGAGATCCAGCTCCGTTAGACCCACTATTCTGCCGCAGTACGCCGCCTAACCCAGCCTGCTTCACCACTGTTAGGTGCCTACTCTTGTAAAGTCCTTTCTTCCTTCTTCAGCTTAGAATAGTCAATCGACAGCACCTCTACGTTGAACAAGCCTAGGGGCCAGCCCCTTACAAATACTAATCTCTAATTTAACAGAGTTGCTAAGCAGTAAGACCTTAGAGGTTATAGTAGGACTTACTGCTGCAGATATGTTTAGCATATTAAGAGGAATTAATAAGAGAAGCCTTATAGGATGAGAAACCCATCACCTTATTAGAGGTTATAGTAGGACTTACTGCTGCAGATATGTTTAGCATATTAAGAGGAATTAATAAGAGAAGCCTTATAGGATGAGAAACCCATCACCTTATAAGTGGAATAAATAGGAATAACTATATAATTACTAAGGATAAGACTTAAGAGAGAGTTATATTATTTAGTACTTTTAGCATAAGAGGTATATAGCTTTATAACCTTTTGCTTTTTAATATAACCTAACATAATATAAGCATTATTAAAAGAAGTAAGTTAGCACCCTCCCACCTAAAGGCAAGAAGACCTATTTATGCTAATCTTAGGGATAAAACCTCAAGAGGGGAGACCTAATATTATAACCTATTAGGCGTAGCTACTAATATAACCCTATTAAGCTCTTAATAGATAATATAAGATATATATAACCTAATAATATAAGAATGATTAGGGATCCTC